ATTCTTGTTTTATCACAAGGGATAGATTACACAAAACTATTGTATAAAATTTAGAGTGCCTTATAAATGAAAATTAATAACATTTATTTCACATGCATGCATTGAGAGCTTGAGCTAAGATTTAGGGACACAATTGTGAATAGGCTGGCTTCCCTCCAACTGCTTGCAATTAAGTTAAATGAGAGAAGAGAGCTAGATGAGATTTCACAGAAGAGGTGATATAAAAGCAGATTCTTGAAAGATGAAAAGTAGCTCACCAGTCACAGAATACAGAAGGTTTCGAGGAGGCATGGCTGGAGGAGAGACATTAGAAAAAAGAAAATTACAAATGGAGAAATAACACGAGTAGAGATCTATAGAATGTTCAGTTCAATCAAATATAATGCCCCTCTAGATAGACAAGGCCAAAGTAATGTGGTATATCCCATGAGAGAAGTGTGCCCAAGGTACTCGTAGTGAGTCAGTCAATGAGCAAAAAGTTTACCAGGTGACATGGAAGATGTAGATCACATCTTAGACTTCAGTTCATCTGAAGGCTTATATAACCATGCAGCATGGAAGGAGGAAAAATGGCCAGTTGCAGGAATGCAACGAGCCCAGTCAATGTGTTTATGTCAGTGGTGGTAGACAATAAAGATGTTTGTACATGACTTTCAGTGGAGAGATAATGAGTTTATTCTTTATCCTGTGGGTAGTGGGGCACAGAATAAAATCTTCCAAGTAGACAATGACAACATTAGGAAGAATAGTTTTGGCAGCAGTGAACTGGCTTGCCCAAGGTAGAGAAAACTGTTTAGTCAGCTATAAAAATAAACTGGACTGAAATGGTGATGGTCCAGCCTAAAATAATGGCAGGAGAAATGGAAAGAATAGGCATTTTTTTCTCATCTTTCATATGGAAGTGGAGTTCTTTTGTATTATCAATGGATAATGGACTTATTTCATTTTAAAATTCTGATACTAAGCAACTTTCTGGTGTTTATGCTTTGGCATACATTAAAATGATCATCACTAGAGCCATTGGAAGGCCGACCATTAAGCCAAACCCTGAATTGGACCAATGAGGAGACTGAGGCCCAGAGAAGAGAGGGGATTGTCCTAAGTCAACAGTATTAGTGGTTGGTATGACTGGAATGTAAGTGTCCCTCCAAAAATTCATAATCTCCAATGCAATAGTATTAAAAGGTGGGGCCCTTAGGAGGTGATTAGGTCATTAGGGCTCCACCCTCATGGATGGATTAGTATCCTTAGAAAATGGTTCAAATGAACAAACTAACTCCTTCCATTCTTTTGCCCTTCTACTTCTACCATGTGAGGATGTGGGAACAATGCATCCTCTTGGAAGCAGATAACAGCCCTCACCAGACACCAAATCTGCTAGCACCTTGATCTTGGTCTTCCCAGCCTCCATAACTGTGAGAAATAAATTTCTGTTATTTATAAATTACCCAGTCTCAGGTATTTTGTTATAGCAGCACAAAGGGACAAAGATGGTGGTAAATAAAGGAGAACAGTCCCATCCTTGTGCTTCTAATACTCCTCTCATCACACTAGAATTTCACCCTAGAAATTATCAGTCATTGTCCAGAGAGACCAAGATACAGAGCAAGGATATGCTCTTGAAAGAGGTGGTAGAAGCTCTCAGTTCTTGGCTCTTCCAGTCTCTATAGGGAGAGGCACAAATCCTCCAAACCTCCAGCTCAGCCCTCTCGGATTACACATTCACTGACAAATGTTCACTGAACCTGCTGTGAAAGAGCCCTGGTGCTAGATGCTGGAAATGCAGACAAATAAATTCAGGCCCGTGTCAGGTCTGAAACAGGTCCTTATTAAGGGGGACAGCACTTTGCTGAAGTGGATAGCAAATCTGGGAGAATGGACCTATCTGCTAGTGGAGTCTGGAGGTACCTTTGATGTTAAGTCTGGAACGCGATTCATGGCACTGTCCCATTCCATGTGCTCACTGGGGTTGAAATGTTGGTTTGAAATTTAGTCTCCCTCGGGTGAGGTCCCTTAAAGCCTGCCTTGTCAACTACTCTCCCTGGGAGCAGAGCCATTCCCCCCAATCTTTAGCCACTTATTGGTACTGCTCAAAACCAGACAGATAGCCTGACGTGAGTCTGACTTCCAGCATCCCTACTGCTTAAACAAATTCAATGCCACATTTTACCCTGTCAGAATATCTCGGATTCTGCTTGAATTAAATCTCAATTTGTCATATATTGGTGTCCAAGCATTCACACCACAGGCCACGTCCTTAGGGCTCAACTTGGCCAATTCTCCCAGTCCTAATACTACCTGGTCCAAGGTATTCCTCTTCACATGCTCTCTGCTGCAATGCTAGAAATGCCTTAGAGCCAGATCACCTGAGACAGGACAAAAGCAAGACAGCATCACTCAGGAAATGCAAAATGAAATGGGGATCCACTGGACATTGACAGCAAAGTGCCAGAAAGTAGGAGAACAGAAGGCGCAGGTGCTATGCAAAGTGCTGAACTCCTGAAACAAGCAGAACCCAGATATATAGTTGTTTGGACAGTGCTTCATTGTTTCCAAAGCTTACTTGATCTGGGCTCAGCTGTCCCAATTAAATTGTTTGTTTCATTTATATGCAAGTGTGGACTGGTTGTGGGTATTCTCCACTTAGAGCCACCAGGTTCACTTGTGTTCCAATCTACCACTATGGTTCTCATAACAAGAAGAAAAGTAAAACAGAAATAAACCACCCAGAACCATCAAGGTGGGGCTTCTCCCTTCTCTAATGAGCCACCAGCAGTCAAACAAATGATGCTTTCTGATAATGCACACATATTGCCGTAGCCATGGAAACACACTTAGCAACAAAGAAACCTTGACCTTTTCCCATCTGTTTAGAATCTTCACAATGACACATTAATTTCAGCATATGAAAACAAAAAGAGAAGGGCATAAATGTTACATTATATATATAATTGCGAGGCAGCGCCTAGCCCAGTGTGGATAAAACTCATGGATGAGGAAGAAATGATGCATTTAGCTTTAACCCAATATTCCAAGGTGGGACCTGAGTGGCATTTTACTGGCATTAAGGAAGATGACTCAAATATGCTCTGCTGCTTACTGAGAGATTTCTGAAAAGGCTCTAAAATTGGGCTGGAGATGGACAGCTATAAGAGCAAACACTAGCCAGTGTAAATACTCCCAAGAGACAATAATGGAGATCTCCAATAACTAATATTCTGTAAGAGTGAAAGCTTTCTTTCCATAGAGCTATTGTTAGCAGCCCGAGGCTAAAGACAATGGAGACAGATTCAGTTCAATTCTATTCAATCCAATAAGCATTTAAGAAGGCTGTCTCTGTTTTTATAGATAGATAAAAATTGGGTATAGAGGATGTATACAACACAGGTTCTGTCTCTAAAATAGTACACTTTTGTAAATATAGAGATATTAACTCACTTAAATCTATTACAAAAACCCTGTGAAAGGCAAGATGAATGTTGTAGAAGTAATAAGGGAAGGCCCCTGCGTTAGATGTCACTAGAACTAAACTTAAAGATATCAGGACATTTTTTAAAAAGTTAACTCTCAAGTGGGTAGAAAGATCAGTCAAAGATGCATTTAGCTCTTTAATGAAGGAATCAGCAGTATGGCAAAACTGATTTAAAGGAGAAGTTGAGAAACTGATATATGTTAGTGGAAAAAAAAAAGACTAAGATTAAAAACTTAGATTGAAAACTGGTTAATGACCTACAGGGCAATAAAACCATAGCCTTTGGAGGTATCTTTTCTACCCAATAAAAGTCATTTGCAACATATACATCTTCTACAGTTTAGCCTCAAACTTCGCAGAGTCTGAACTCTAATCAAATAATAAATAATAAGCCAGACAAAGTTATCTCCCTCCAGAGTGTGAGATGACTGTTGGGTGGATTTGTTATAACACTCTAATATGACATTTAAAAAGCATTCAGGATCATTCTGCCTTATTTCCAAGTTTTGGATAATTTTCCTTAATAATGGCAGAATATAGGTAGAGAGAAACAGTGGAAACAGACATCATTAAAACTCAATGAAGAGTTGGGATGACAAGGTCATTCAGTTCTTCACTCAAATGCATTATTAGAGAAAAACAACACTCTCAACTATGGACCAAATAGACAAAATAGGATTTAGTTTCAATACAAGAAATATAAGATTGAACATCTAAACTTTTAAAGGATTAGGAATACGTTAAGAATTTATTTTTTTTTCCATTTACTAAAAGTCCTTGTAAATAGGTTACAAACAGACTAACAATGGGGTAGGCAATCAAAAGGAAATCACTTCTGAGATTTACTGACCCTACAGGAAAAAATAAATCAAGAGCTACCTACAAAAGGAATTTAACTTATTTGGTATTGTTTCCCTGAGAGAAATCTAAAATGGCCAACACTTGCTATTTTTATTAAGAACTAATATATTCAATATATCCAATAAACACTGAAAATATGTATTACTCTTCAATTTCGTGTTTCTGAAAATTGGGATAGAAGAAGGGAGAAATGTAGGAAAAGGCAAAGAAATGAAAGAAAGAGTGGAAAGGAGAAATATGAGTAAATTATCAGAAGGGAATTAAAGAGAAAATGAAATTCACAAAAATGAATGGTAGGAAGAACAAGGGAGAAAGGCAGTTGAGGCAGGAGAAATCAGAAGAAGTCACGAACTACCAAGAAAAAGGGACATGAAAGAGCAGCATATAGAAGAAGAGATTTTTAAAAGAGATGAGGCATAAATGAGATGCTAATACGTAGCTATTAGAATGGCCAAAATCCAGAATGTTGACAACACCAAATGCTGGTGAGGATGTGCAGTAACAGGAACTCTCGTTCATTGTTGGTAGGAATCCAAAATGGTACAGCCACTGTGGAAGACAGTTTGGAAGTTTCTTACAAAACTAATCTTACCATATGTCTTGGGGCTGCTGTAACAGAATACCATAGACTGGGTGGCTTAAACAAGAAACATTTATTTCTTGCAGTTCTGGAGGCTGGAAGTTCAAGATCAGGGGGCCAGTATGGTTGGGTTCTTGGTGACAGTTCTCTCTAAGGTCCTGGTTCATGTATCTCTGCCTTCTTGCTGTATCTTCACATGGGAGAGAGACCATTTCTCACGTGTATCTTCTTATAAGAACACTAATCCCATTCATGACAGTGCCACTTCATGACCTAATTACCTCCCCAAAGCCTCACCTTTAAATGCCATCATGTCGGGGGTTAGTGCTTCAACATATGAACTTTCAGCACCACATGATTCAGTAATTGCACTCTTTTGCATTTACCCAAAGGAGCTGAAAATGTATATCCACACAAAAAACATATACTGAGATATTTACTGTGGCTTTATTCACAATTGTCAAAACTTGGAAGTCACCAAGATGTCCCTTCAGTAGGCAATTGGATAATTAAACTGTAGTCCACCTAGGTAGTAGACTATTATTCAACACTAAAAGGAAATGAGTTTTCAAGCCATGGAAAGACATGGAGGAACCTTAAATGCATATTACTAAGTAAAAGAAGACCATCTGAAAAGGCTACACACTGTAAGATTCCAACTAGATGACATTCTTTAAAAGACAAAACTATGGAGACAGTAAAAAGATCAGACATTTCCAGAGGTTGAGGGGAGGAAGGGATGAATAGGTGGAACACAGACGATTTTCAGGGCAGTGAAACTATTTAGTGTAACCCTATAGTGGTAGATATATGTTATCATATATTTGTCTTGAAAGGTGGCAGAATATGCCACCCTAAAATATGCCACATTGGCATAAGGATTATTTTGAACTAAGATACAAAAAGCTCACTCTGTCCTCCCTGTAACAAGAGAAAATAAATGTTTTTTTTCTTTTCATCCCACCAAGGATGGAAGAATCCTCTCATGTGAAGGATGCCCTTCCTGTTCCAGATAAAAAGGAAGCATTCTTATTACCAGATATGGGGATTCAAGGCTGAAAAAAATCTGTACAAACATACCTTGTTAAAATAACTCCCTTCTTCCTTTAGCCTCCTAATATAATTTTAGTCACTTTTCCACAATTGCCACTGTGTCCAACCTACTAAGACGTAAGCATTTAGGTTTTGCCACTTCTCTGGGCTTTCATTTTCTTATGGAGGCTCCCATGTATGTGTAAAAATCTATGCTTTTCTTTTGTTAATCTCTCTTATGTCAATTTAATTCTCAGGCCCAGCCAGAGACTCTAAGAGGGAGGTAAAGCTCTGCCTCCTTAAAGTTCAAAGCCAGGAATACACTACATCAAGAGAGAACCCTAATGTCAACTATAAACCTGAGGTGATAATGCTGTGTCAGTGTAGGTTCATCCGTCATAACAAATGTACCATTCTGCTGTGGGATGTTGATTGCTGCAGGGGCTATGCTATTGTGGGCACAGGGGGTATATGGGAAATCTATGTACCTTCTACTCAATGTTGCTATGAACCTAAAACTTCTCTAAAAGTGGAAGTCTACTAAAAAAAGGGAGAGAAAGAGAGAGGAGGTTAAAAAAGTAGAAAGTGGGAAGATATAGGCAAAGATAGAGCAGATCAGGAGAACTGGAAATAAAGGCAAGTTGAAATTTCCATTCCCTTGCTCTGAATTTGTGTCAAATTGTTAAAAGTCGTGATCAATTGATTGGCCAATATTCAAAGCGTCTTGATTACTCTATTCCTTAAACCCAGAGGGGAGAACCTGCACTGTGGTCAGTAAGAGAATGTCACACTGCTTGAGCAAACTCAAGCTGGAGTCTGAGACTGGTATTCTGAAGCCAGAGTTTTCTGCTCCCAGTGAAACACAGCAGCTGGGATCAGTGTGGCCCATGTTCCGGGCTCAAATTGGCTTTCACCTGTCGGGGATCTAAACAAGTCCCACAGCTGCTGGCCGTCTTCTCATATGCTGGTAGTGGAGTGCCCCATATACTGGGAGGATGTAATAAAGCATTCGAGTGAGCAAGATGACAGATGTAAACACATTGCCAGGTGTTTGGTGACCTCCCATCGCCAGGCATGAGAGACACTGTCAAGATTGAGAAGGTTAGAGCCTATGACCTCACAATGGCAGGAAACACAGGACCATTCTAAAGCCAGCCTCTTCTACGCACCTTCTTCTCCGATAACCTTCTCCCTCGGCCTGCACTTTCTCCTCGGCTCCGAACATAACCGACTCCGCCTTTAAGAGGTTAATACAAGTGAGATAGAAGGTACTTGGAAGTTTTCTGCTTTTAATTTCTGCTTAATGACTTATTGGCCAGGGCACTATCACATTGTCTTACTTAACAGCCTTTCCTGCACAATAAACTCTGCTTGGCGCCCACCTCGGCCCACAAACCCTACAATTAAGCGGTCGTTTGTCCTCAGGAGCTTGACAGAAACAGGAGTCTGAGGCGGGCTGGGAGGAGCCCGGATTTATTAAAGTAATAAATAACCTAGAAGCCCCCACCAAGCCGCTGCCTCCCCCTTCTTATTTACTTCCTTTTTGTGGCTTCTGAGATGGGGAACTTAATTGCTTGGAAAGAAAGTTGCCTCAGAACTGCACAGCACTTGCATCCCAGAAACAATAAAATAAAACTGGGAGGCTCTAGGGCTACAGCTTAATAACGGCTCTGCTGCTGGCTGGGCTGGGCTTCCTGGCAAGCGCTCACTCATTCCATGTTTCTAGAAGAGCAGCACTCACTCTGCGCACATAAACGCACTCAGCGAGGCAGCGAGCCATCAGGTTGGCCGAAGGGAGGCTCTCTTAGATGAAGTTCTTATTTACCTTGTCATTTGTTCTTCTCCTTTTATTTTGCTTGTAAGTTTTTGTAAGAAAAAATGTTTGCAAATATTAATTTAGATGTAGAAATTCCTAAATATTACCTTGTACTTAATATCTTTAAATGTCATTTTTTTTCTCTCAGATATTCTCATTTGATCACAAGTTTTTAAATTATTATCAGAAAATATCTTTGTGTGGCTCAGGAACAGCTGATCTAGCCAGAACTCTATTCATCTCTCTAGAATATTCTTGTACCCAAAACAGTATATAAAAGCATTAAGAAAAGCAGTTTTCTAGAAAGTCAAAATAGATGTCACACACACATGCGCACACACACACACACGCACACACACACACACACATTCCAGTGCCCACTTTTTCACTTTTTGTCTGTTTAACACACAGTTCTCACAAATATATCTATCTACTTTCCCAGCCAGTCTAGAAAGTAGAAATACTTCCTATAAGCTCGCTGTTAGAGGCCAATTACTTCTTTACTTCTCTTGTCCAAGTTAAGCTTGTGAAATTCACATAACGTAAAATGAACCATTTTTAAGTGAACAATTCTGTGGCATTCAGAACATTCACAATATTGTGCAACCACCACCTCTATCTAGTTCCAAAACATTTTTATTACTTCAAAATAAACTCCTATACCCATTAAGCAGTTACTCCTTATTCATTCTTCCTGCCCTCTACCCCTTAGCAACCAGAAATCTGTTTTCTGTCACTATGAATTTACCTATTCTGTATATTTTATTTAAATGGAGTCATACAGCATGGGCTCTGGCTTTGCATCTGGCTCTTAGATTAATGCTTTCAAGGTTCATCCACATGAAGCATGTGTAGCATGCTGTGTATAGCATGATGTAGCATGTGTCAGGGCTTCATTCTCTTTTATAGTTGAATGATATTCCATTGTATGGATATACCACATATTATTTATCCATTCATCCATTGATAAATATGGGTGGTTTTCAACCTTTGAGTATTGTGAATAGTGCTGCTATAAGCAATTTTTGTATAAAATTTATTTGAACACCTGTTTGAAATTCTCTGCAATAGGCCTAGGAGTAGAATTCCAGGTCACATGGTAATTCTATGTTTTACTTTTTCAGAAATTGCCAAGTTGCTTTCCACAGCAGCTGAGCCATTTTTGCATTCCTACCAGCAAGGTATGAGGGTTCCAATTTCCCCAATTTTATTTTGAACGTGATTCTCGCAAATATGTGTCTACTTTCCCCACCCCTAGTCTAGAAAGTAGTAATCCTTCTGTAGGCTCTATTATGGCCCAGTCACTCTTCTTTTTATCTCCCTCATCCAAATGAAACTTCCCCTAAATACATGTGCCTACTTACAGCAGTTTATGCCTTTGTCCAGAAGCTGAAAATTTTCTTCAAACTTAGGCAAAGTTGCTGTGGAGAAACTTTAATTTTTTAAGTGTCAAATTCCAAAAATGATATTTCCAGATATGGAAGGTCCCCCAAATTTTCACATACCTACTCCCACCTGGACTGCAGAGAAAGCTTATTCAGGGTTGTCATCATCCTGTCCTCTGCTACAGAACATCTTTTTAACACGAAGGATGTGTTCTACCAAAAGAAAGGATTAAACTTAATAAGAAGAAAACATGAAATCTGAGAAACAGGAAATCTAAACCGGATAAAAGTCCAAAGAAGTTTTACAAAATGATAGTAAAAGGTATTCTCAGGATAACAGTTGGAAATAATGCCTAGAAAACAATAAGCCAAGGTAGAAGGAAAACAGAAATTTCCAGGTGGAATAACTCCAAGAAAAAAAAATGGAATTGGTAGATTATCTTTTATAATTGACTTTATAGAAAGTACTAAAGATTATTTGAATGAGAAGAAAATAATTTAGTACGAAGAAAACTAAGCAGATTAAAAACTAAGGCAATTACTAACTTAATCACTTGTGAAGATTAAGAAGAAATAAGAAAGGGAACACAGTATATTACAAGCAATGCAAACACAATGATAAATTTAACCAAGATTTATAATATCATATTATATCAGAAAGATAGGGAGGGTAGGCTGGGTGTGGTGGCTCCTGCCTATAATCCTAGCTCTTTGGGAGGCTGAGGGAGGAAGATCATTTGAGGCCAGGCGTTTGGGATCAGTTTGAGCAACATAGTGAGACCCCATCTCTACAAAAAATAGGAAAAAAAAATTTAGCCAGGCATGATAGCCCATGCCTGTGGTCCCAGCTACTTGGGAGGCTGAGGCAAGAGGATTGCTTGAGCCCAGGAGTTTTAGGTGGCAGTGAGCTATGATGACACCACTGCACTCTAGCCCAGGCAACAGAAAGAGATCTTGTCTCAAAAAAAAAAAAAAAAAAAAATAGGGAGAGCAAGCAAAGAAAGGAATTGGTGGTATAAAAAGAGATTTATGGTCAAGTACTATTAATATAAAAAACAGATAATAGATTATGTCTAAAATTAATGGATTGAAAGAAATGGACATGAATGTTTTCACTTATCTATTGATTTAAAATAAATCACCCCAAAACTCAGTGGTTTAAAATAATGAGCATGATGTTATTATTATCTCTCACATGTATGGAGCTGATTCTGCCAGTTGGCTGGGACCTCAACTGGGGCTGCTGGCTGAAAAACACCTACACATGGCCTCTCTATGCTCCATGAACTACTTTACAGATTAGTGGCCTCAAACTTTTTAATGTGGTAGCTCAAGATTCCATAGGCATTTGTCCCTCATGTGGAGGCTGAATTATTTTTTTATGACCTAGTCACCGAAGTCACAAAGTGTCATTTCACCATAGTCACAGGCCCACCTTCTTCAAGGAGAAGAAACATAAACACCACCTCTCAGTGGGAGAAGTGTCAAAGTTACAGTGCCAGAAGAGCACATGAGATGGAGATCTAATTGTGGCCACATTGAAAAATATAATTTGCCACACATATTATTTAGAAAGAAAATGTTAAAGCCAGAAGAAAAAACTAAGAGTCGTGTTTGCTTCTGGTGAGAGAAATTGGGGGTGGATTTTAAAACCACTTTACTTATTGAAATAGTTGCATACATTACTTTGGTGAAATATTTTTAAAAAATATTTTTAAAAAGTAAGAAGCCCATATTCCTGTCTAAATGGGTACATAAAGCCTCAGGCACTCCAGGGACATTCTATTGGTTTATGTCAGAGTCATCAGAGCTCTACATCTCATTTTGCACTCTACACAGGCATCACACACCACCAACCTACAAAGGTAACATCAATTGTTTAGGAGCAATTGTCGCATGTGACAATAAGAGCCCTCCATTCAGCGTCAGCTATATCAACCACAAACATGGCCAAACCCCCAGTATGCAAATAACACCAAAGCAGGCATACAGGAGTCGATGATTAAACCCCCTGCCAAGAAAAGTCTAGTTATAAGAACTCTAAGAAGCTGTCTTAAAAGAATTTTGTTCTTTGGGGTATTACCAAAGGTAACATTGAAACTTTGAATACCTGAACCAATAGAATCACTGATTGATACTTACAGATCATTTCATTATTAAAAAATTTTCCTTGCTGTTTTCTGTTTTTCCAAATTATTTTCAGTAATGGCATTACCATGAACAGGGTAGACTGTTAAATGAGGTGGCTGCAGTAGAAATTAGAAGAGTTCTAGTGTCCCTGCTCAAACATGAGGGACCTGGAATCAAAGCCAATTTAATTAGTAGTTTTTCTCGTGTTCTGCCAATTTTTTTAGCTTATTAAACAGAGACACGTACTAATAACCTGCAATTCTCTTCTTTTGGGATGTTCTGCTTTCATCTCTGCCTCCCACCAACACAGTTGATATATTATAAATAATTCACTTCAATATCTGCCAAGACTATAGATTTTGGAGATGAGAGGGAGGCCCCAAGTGCTGTAATTGTGCCAAAAAGTCTAGAAAATCCCCACTCCCCACTCGCCCACTGTTTATGAAGAACATCCCATTGCAACTATCTCTGAGTTAAGTTCAGCTAGTACAGGTGGTTGCAGTATATTGAGGGATTAAAATTGGCAGGAAGTTGTGAAATATTGCAATAGGAGAAGAGGTCTTCTTCTTTCTTATATTAACCCTGTTCATAATTTCTGTTTCAGAGCTGGGATGAAGATGTCCACATTCTGGCTTCTACATCATAATATCATGACATCAACATTTCAGAATCCTATGCCTTAGGCAGCTCTTTTTACTTTATATGCCTTTTTCCACGACTTCTGGGAAAAGAATCCTCGTTCTAGGACTGCATTGATCAATTCTCTCCTACCTCAGTTTCCTTTCACCATATGTAAAATGAAAGACTCTTGATCTCCAAAAAAATCTTCCAATTGTAACACTGTCTGCATCTATAAGAAGTAAAATTAATCATCCTGTGTATTGGATGCATGGAATTTTTGTATGAAGAAGGAAAGAAGTTTGGCTTCAGAAAGATTCCAGAAGCAATTGACTTGGTCCTTGGAAAAGAAAGGGGAGATTTGGTGGAAACGAGTGAAGAGAGTTGGTTTCTCTCTGCTATTACCTGAAGAAAGCTAAAAGCAGACATTGGACAGTTGTCCTAGCTGCATCTTTTAGGGTCCTGTCACTACTGGCATTAATAATTCTGGGGTGGAGCCAAGAATGGAGGAAATATACATTGTGGTTGTTTGTGGTAAGTATTTCTTGAAGAGTATAATGAATTCCTCTACTTCACCTGAACATAGGCTTTTCTCATTTCTTCATAACTCTACCAAAAGCTACATTTTCTTATTTGTGTGTGTATAGGTGTGTGTGTGTGTGTGTGTGTGTGTGTGTGTGTGTATGTTTTTCTTTTAAGAATGCCCATGAGATTTCTGCTCTGGCTAGGACAGAGTAACAGGAACCAGATTTACTTTCTCTCTGAAACAATTTTTAAAAGGGCAATGAATATAAATAGTAGTTGTCAAGAGATTGGGCATCACACAATGAAGGAGAGTGATATCTGAGAGACAGGAAAGATAGAATTGTCTCAGCTTTCTGCTAGATAGTGACCACCGGGTAGCAGCACAAGAAGGTGGAGCATCAGTGGAACCCAGTGGACTCCCTGCGTTGAAGAGAGGGAGCTGGGGGTCTGGAGGAAACCAAGGCAGCTAGAGTTCCCAAGACAGAGTACCAAAGAATTCACACAGAAATAAAATTATGAATACTTGCAGAAAGATTCCCTTGAGTAGTCATCATGTGAGAATGCACGTGAGGAAACTGGCTGAGGCTGGAGAAAGAACCACCTGAGAGGACTGGAGGGAACAGTGCCTGGTAGTCACACAGAGCTGAGAACAGTACCTGCTCCCACCAGCAGACTGGAAAACTCATAATTCTTAAGACAATGTGTAGAATATTCATGAGGGTCTTTTTCCATTCATGGGGAATAATCAGCTGTAGATAAAATTCTGTTCTGGTCCCACCTAACTAATTTTAAAAGCCATTGCAAAAAGGATCAAATTGTTTCCAAATAATTTAACTGCTTACTAAAACAGAGTTCAAAAATATTTATAAAAATATAAAAATATCATCACTTAAAAAATTAAATTCACAATTTAATTGTGACTGGCATCCAGTCAGAATACAGAAAATGCAACCCACTAATGAGGAGAAAAATTAACCAATTGAAACTAACTTATAACAACACAAATATTACAATTATCAAAGAAGGACAGTAAAGTGGTTATCATAATAGCTAGAAAACCCTGACATAATACAAAATGCAAAGACAGGAAGATTCTAAAATGTGGAAAGAATGCAGGGGTTTGAAGAACAATGTAGTCATGAGTTCCCTGGGTTTTGTTTTTGTCTTCCATACATCTCAGAGAGGCTACCAGAGAACCCTAGAACCCAGAACTGAAAACAAGCACAAAGTTTCAAGAAAAGTGGAGATTATAAAAGGACCTAAATGGAAATAATGATTTTACATATCACTAAAAGTATTAAAATGTACACAAAATATAGGTAGACTGATATATTAGGTATGTATATTTTAATACCTAGGGCAACCACTAAAAACCATATAATGATATATTAAAAACACTAGAAATATATGAAATTCTAGAACAAAATTCCAGTAACATAAAAAGCAAGAAAAGGTAGTCAGAAAGATAAGAAACAGAATAAGCATATAGAAAACAAATAATAAAATAGCAGACTTAAACACTAACATTTAAAAAATCTGTTTTCAAGGTGTCCACAAAAAATTAAGTAGAAATAGGAATTATATGAAAAAAAAAAAACCTCTAAAGCTGAAAATTCCAATGTATGAGAAGCAAAAAAATACATAGGATGTCTTTAGTGGTAGATTAGACATTGTAGATGAAAAGATTAGTGAACTGAAAGACACAGAAATAGAAACTATCCAAAAGGAAATATACCGAGAAAATAATAGTTTAAAAACAATAAAAAGAACATGAGTGAGCTGTGGGACAATTTCAAGCAATCTAATAAATAACTGGAGTCTTTGGGGGAAGGAGCGCAAAATAGCTCAAGAAATAATAACTGCAATTTCTCTAAGCTTCATGAAAAGTTTTAAAACCACAGATCCAAGAAGCTGAACAAATCTCAAGAACAAGAACATGAAGGAAATTAAACCAAGGCACATTATAAACAAATTTCTCAAAAAAAAGTAATATAAAATATTTCCTTTGACCTCAGTGGAAATAAATTAGAAATAAATAAGAAAAAGATATCTAGATATCTCAATATTCATAAATTAAATAATACACTTTTCAATAATCTATGGATTAAAGATGAAATCAGGGAAATTAGTATTTTGAATTGAATGAAAATGAGAAAGCAATATATCACCCTTTGTGGGATATAGTAAGAGCAGTACTTAGAAAAAATTTATCGCATCAATCACCAATGTTAGAAAAACCAAAGCCCTCAAATTAAGGATTGTAGCCTTCCACCTTAACTCACTGGAATAAGAATAAATGAGACACAATGTAAGCAGAAAAAGAGAAATATAAAGGTTGGAGCAAAAATCAATATAAGATATGAATTCTGAGATTTAGAAGCACAGTGAGTCCTAAGTAAGACAAACAAAAATTACACTATACGAGACATTTCCTACTAAAGCTACAGAATATAAGAGAGAAAAAAAAAAAAGAAATTTGAACTTCTACCAGAAATAAATGACTATTTCCCTAAAAAGACATGACAATTAAATTGATAATATATATACTTATAAGCAATAATAGATGTCAGAAGACAAAAGACTAACATCTTCAGAGTACTGTAGAAATAATTTTCAGAACAGATTTAGGCAAACAACTAAATGATCATTCAAGACCAAAGTGCAAAATAAAAACATTTTCAGAAATATATAAACAGGAAGTGTTAACAACTTGCAAATCTTTAATGAAATAACTGTGTAAGAGATATATTTTCACATGAAGAAAGTTAAACCCAGGAGGAAGAGGGAGAATGTAGGAAGCAATGAGCAGAGAAGATATTTAATAGTAAACACATTAAAAAGTGTAAAATGTATTGAGGATTTAAAAAAAAAATAGAATGATGACTAAACTTTAGAGGGTGTTTCAGAGAAAAAACATTGATTAATTTAACTTTGATTAGATTAGGCGCACATGTTAAAAATGTAAGGGCAACCACCAGAAGAATAAAAATAATATGGATAACTTTCAAATCAGTAAAAGGAAAAGGGAATTTTAAAGTTTCAATCATTCTAACAGAAGTGAAAAGAAGGTGGGGCGGAGAAAGCGGAAAAAAAAATGGTAATAGAATCTAGTTTGAAGGGTCAGGGGAAACTTACTTCACTCAAGGAAGAGATATTTGGTTGAGATTTTAGTAATGAAAATTACCAAGTCTGTAAAAACCTGGAGAGGAACACACTTTGTAGACATATCTCTCTGCGTGTCTGTAAGAGCTGCAATAAAAAGTCCTAAGAGTGAGTTTGAGTGTGGGACAAGAGTACAAGGGAGTACAGGAGAGGAATGTTAGGCGGGCACGGTGGTGCATGCCTGTAGTTCTAGCTACTCGGGAGACTGAGGCAGGAGGATCGCTTGAGCCCAGGAGTTTGAGGTTGCTGTGAGCTAGGCTGATACCAGAGCACTCTAGCTCAGGCAACGGAGTGAGACTCTGTCTAAAAAAAAAATTAAAATAAACTACTAGCTGTGAAGAGACATGGGAGAATCTTAAGCATATTGCTAAGTGAATAAGCCAGTCTGAAAGGCTAAATATCCTATGATTCCAATTATATGACATTCTGGAAAAGGCCAAACTATAAAGACAATAAAAACATCAGTGATTACCAGGGATTGAGGGGCTGGAGGAGGGAGGAATGAACAGATGGAGCATAGAGAACTTGCAGGGCAGTGAAACAATTCTGCATGATACTATAATGGTGAATTCATGACACTATACTTTTGTGAAAACTCATAGACCTGTACAACACAAAAAAATGAACCTTAATTATAGTATGAACTTTAGTTAATAATGCACATCAATATTGTTTCATAAATTTTAGCAAATGTACTATAGTAATGTATGATATTAATAATAGGGAAACTGAGGGGAGAAGGATAGGGGAACTCTATTTTCTGTGAAATTTTTCTGTAAACCTAAAACTTTTCTAAAAAAAATAAATCTATTTATATATGAAGCATAAATTATTTTTTGAAAGCATGTCTCAACAGTAACCAAGACAGAAATATTTATTATGCATACTATCAACAAAGAGGTAGCAATGCAATGCAGTAACACAGACTAAACCTAGTCCATGGCCAATATTTGCTTATATTTATAAACTTAACAGGTTTTTAAAAAAGAATATTTGGAATATAAAGAACAAATTAACACAGAGAAGCTGGAATTTCACATATTGTTATGTTGTTCCTTATATGTCTGCAAATCAGAGAGAAAAAAGTTTCAAGATAGTATTTCTCCTTTAATTTATTCTTAGTTATTATTCTTGTTATCAAGACCATATCCAAATGGTATTATTTTCTTTAAACAGTATTATTTTTAGTGTTTATCCTTGTTTCTGTAAGTTCGCATTTTGTATGGGATGTAAGATTTCTTTTCTTGATGTTCATATCCATTTAATCATGTAAAGTGATTTTAAAATTCACTTTTTAAAAAGTGATCATAAAGTTAAAAAAAAAATTCCAGTCTTCAGAAATTTTCTTTATAAATGCTGCCTTCAAAATACCTGTCATCTATAAAATATTTCTTATTCCAGAAATACCATGCTCAGATCTGCACTATGATACTTAACCACACTACATTACAGTTGAACAGAGAGAAGTTCTGCAAAATCCTAGAATATATAATGTGGCTTTCTTCTTTCAGTTATTTAAGGGAAAAATATAAAAAACCTGTTTCAGGCATCTGTACAGAGAAACAAGCTCCCTGCGGTTGGCTGCGCAGCCGCAAGCCTCTAGCTTAGTGGGCAGCGCCATCTACTGGAAGGACTTTGTTTCTCATTTCAGTTTTATCAACAATTCGCGCGCGGAATGGCCTCTGGAAAGTCATTTAACTGTGCATCAGCTGCCTCTTGCATAAAGTTGGAGATAATAGCGCCAATTTTAGCGGCTGTGGTAAAAAATATGAAGTAATGAAAAGCCTCGGAGTGTTTATTATTAGTTCATTGCTGCACTTAAAAGAGGAAAGTTAATTTTTGCTGTAACACAAAGCAGAATTCTCAAGGCCCCATGAATGTAGATAAATTTGGCTGAAAGCTATTGGCTTTTTCTCCTTCCAGGATTGTGGCACATATAAGCCTAATTAGTGCATCTGAAAGTTTATGAAGTGACTGGTTAGAGTCCAATAACCTTTATTGCATGTGGCCCACACAAGCCAATTATGAATGAAAGTTATGGACACAGTTCTGATGCAATCATGGGTAAATCACAACGGAGACCAGGAAAAGGACTCCATTCTCAGTACGGAACAGGAGTAAGCAGGACTTGGACTTCTATTTGGCCTGGTAACAAGGTCATGCCTGAGATTCTACAGCGATTGATGTTCCCCTTCTGAGGTCCTCTAATTGCTTTTCTCTTGCCTCTGGGCCTGCTTTGTCTCCTCCTCTCTCATTCATATTCAAGACCATGACTGCAAGCCTTGAACAGCTATGCAAAGTGTTTCTTAAATGTAGACAATTGAAATATAAATGTTCCTGCCCAGCGCTATTAATTATCTTACAGCTTTCCCCAAGCACCCTTTGTATATATAGCAACTTAAATGGTGACTATAAAATGTGAAGGGAATTTTTTTTCTCAATTTTTCTATTCCTGCTTCTCAGTTCCCCATTCCATTTTTATTCATTCCTCCTCTGTTCACCTGTTATATTTCAAAAAGGAAAAACTGCATCAAAGACACACTTTTCTTTTCTTTCTCTTTTAGTTCAGATTGAAAAGAATCCAAAGACCTTACAGGGCAATCACTGACACTCGTACCTATGTGGTCCTGGTTAAGCTGCCTTAATAGTTGGGCCAAAGTTTCTCCATCTGTAAAATGGTGACAAACAGAAGTTAATGCATAAAAAGCATCACCTGTGCCTGGCATATACTAAGGGCTCAGTGACAAATATTTTCATTAGGTGGGGAAGGGGAGACCTTTGAAATATAAAGTCTGGCCAGTTTACCAGTAAACAAAAATGAGCTCAATCCAGAAAACTTTATCCATATTCTCAAAGGAGAGGAATTCTGGAGGATATTATGGAAGAACTCTCAATTTTAGGCAACTTACTAACTTTTGTCACTGAGCCATTGCAAAACAGTGATTAATGTAGGCTTTTAGTGAATATTATTACACTCACAAAGTTTTAATATGTGCATGTCATTTGCAGTGAGACAGTTCTCTATGGGTCTTTATTGTTTCTGCATATCTTGAAAACAGATGCACTGATTCCCTTTGTTCTTGATGAGCTTCTTAAGTATATTTGTATAGCCAAAAGCTTTAGATGATTTCTCCCTCCAGAGCCAGTGGCAGTTTGTTCACTGCTCAGTATAATAAAATAATGAATCCCTCTGCAACAAAGGTAGGGCAAGTTTGCTTGCAATCTCAATATTGGGATTTCCTAAGTTTGGTGTTTCTCAGCTGTGACACAAACCACCATGTGTGCAGCATCTACATAGACTACTCCATATTGACTCTGAACTTGAGGGCTAAGAGGAACTGACATGAATGTTACTGTCCAGGCAGGTTCCTGGTCCACTGCCCAGGAGGAAGCCAATATACTGAAACAGCAGACGTTGCAGTAGAGAAAGAGTTTAATATCGCAAGGTACCAGGAGAGCAAATGGTAGCAATTTTCTCAAATCCATCTCCCCAAGAAATTGGGGCCTAAGATTTTTAAAGGTAGTTTGGCAGACAAAGGGATAGGGAAATGGGTCTGCTGATTGGCTGGAGATGAACTCATAGGGTTGGGAAGCAGAAATTGTCTTCTTGGCTGAGAAGAGCGGTAGAGGGTCACAGGACCTGTTGAGTCAGTCTCCATGCCTGGCCATGGTCTGGCTAGCATCAGTTGGTCCCCCTGAATGCAGAGTCTGTAAGGTTATCTCAAAGGCCATTCTTAGATTTTACAATAGCAATGTTGTCTATAGAAGCAACTGGGAAAGTCTCAAATCTTACACTAGTCAGGGATATGTGAGACTTAATCAGTAAGCAGTTACAGAACGGTAAACTCTGAAACTGTAACAGATAGGATGGCTTGAAAAAGGAAAAAAAAGGTTTTTTTTGTCTCTTTAAAACCCCCTCACCTTTTAAAGTGTTTTCTGCTTCCTACCTTTTTCAGAACTAAAACCAGTATCCCTGCCCCAGGCCAGCAGTTGGTGAGGCAGGGGAGTGTTTTCTTTCTCCCTTTTCAGAACAAAACTCAGCTTCCCTGACTCAGGCCTGGAGTTAGGTGGGGCAAGGGAGTGTTCTTTTTTGTTGTTGTTGTTATTGTTCTTTTCACTCAAGTAGATAGCTCAGTGAAACCATCCTGGTGGAGGACTGGGCAACAGAGGTCCCAGAAGGTCCCCGTGGCTGAGGCCTGGCTCCCGACTGGTGGGAGGTCCCAACAGATTCTGGAGGTGAAAGGATCAGAACCATAAACTTATAGTTGAACAACAATACCCTGAACCTGAGAACCCTCCCCTTAAAACTCTGTATTTTCCCTTATGGGGGAGGAATTTGGATTTTGAGGTGATAATCTTATAATTTTCCTCCTTTGCTGGCAAAGTAATAATAAAGTTCCCTTTCCTTCTCCTTAACCACTTGTCCATTGTTCTTCTGATTCGGCCTCACGGACAAGAGCCAAGCTTTCGGTAACAAAACAATGAGTGGCTGGTTAACTTTAGGTACGTCTATCCTTCTGTAGAAAACAGACTTTTACTGTAGTTTTTGCCTTATGGCCTTACATTAATATAGGTGATTTCATGAACATGAAGCTCATGCTGCTTACTGTGCTGTGGGCAATAAAGTCCTTTGTCTCTGACTTGGGAGACTCGTTGTATAGAAGGAGAAAATGGGGATCAGAAATATTAAATACCTTGCAAAGATCACATAGCAAGCAAGTTGCACCGCTGGATTCAGAACTGAATTCTGTCTAACTCCAAGTAGGTTCTGCTCTACCATGTCCAAGATGATACAGAGCAAAGGGCCATCCTCAAGAGCACAGGTAAGCATCTCTAGCCAACAATCTATCTTCCTCTTTTATTCTATAGCCTGAAACTCCATCATTAGGGAATCCAGGCGCTGCAATATCACAAAGGGAGAAATGCGCTTCAAGTGAGATGAAATGAACCCTCGTATCTTGGGGCTGGAGCTCATAGTGTCTTTAAATCTTCTACTTCCCTGAATATGCTTTTATCATCTGCAAAATGTACATAATAAAATCTGTTCTTCCCATTTGAATGGGATTTATGTAATTTAGAAAGAAAATCAAAATGACATATAATATATGCAAAAGCACTTTGTCAGGATTCATAGACAGGGTAGCACTTGTGCACTGCTGGTAGTGTCAACCCAAGTAAATGACTGACGTAATCTCAATCAAGGGAGGTTTATTAAGCCAAAGTCGAGGAGGCACCCAGGAAAAACACAAACTGTAGACAAGCTGTGGCCTTTTCTCTGAAGGAGAAGTTGGAACCTTCAGCATTTAAAGGTATGTAGAGGGAAAGAAAAAGGCACAAGGAAGGGGAAGCTGATGAGGCAAAATTGTTACATTTCTGTCAGGCCCAGGAAATCTACATTTTACATAATATAAGCGGAAGTTAGAAGAGAAAAAGGGAGTGATGGAAGGATCAATTTTGTAAATGTCCCTGGGAAGGTTAAAGAATGTCTGATTCTATGTGTTTCCAGTTCTGTTCCCTGTAAAGATAAACTTGTAATTCATTATTAGTGTGGAATGGAACAGGCTTTAGTTTCAGGTGCTAGAGATATGTACCATTTGCATGTGCTTATTTATGGGAGGTGAGCAATGAATTTCCTTAGTGAATGATTTGTGGGTCCAGTTCTTCACAGATGCCTGAGGCCCTTACTTTCTCTCTTGCATAAGGAGTTGGGGGAGGTAGCCCTGAGATTTTGATTTTCTTTTTACATTGTGAATGTAAATTAGTACAGCCACTATGGGAAATGGTATGGAGGTTCCTCAAAAAAACTATTAAATAAAAATAGAACTTCCATTAATTCCACCACTGGGTATATATATACAAAAGAAAAGAAATCCGTATATCAAGGCGATCGATATCTGAACTCCCATGTTCACTGCAGCACTATTTACAATAGCTAAGATATGGAATCAACCTAAGTGTCCACCAACAGATGAATGAATAAAGAAAATGTGGTACATATGCATCATGGAATACTACTCAGCCTTCAAAAAGAATGAAACACTGTCATTTGCAGCAACATGGATGGAACTGAAGGTCATTATGTTAACTAAAATAAGCCAGGCACAGAAAGACAAACACCTCATGTTCTCACTTGTATGTGGGAGCTAAAAAAGTGGATCTCATGGAAGTAGAGAGTTGACTGGTGGTTAACAGAGGCCAAGAAGGGTAGAGGGGGTTGAGGAAAGGTTGGTTAATGGATATAAATGTACAGTTAGATAAATAATAAGATCTAGTGCTCAATAGTACAGTAGGGTGACTGTAGTTAACAATAATGCATTGTATAGATAAAAATAGCTAGAAGAATTGGAGTGTTCCCAATATAAAGAAAAATGTTTGAGGCAACAGATATCCCAATTATCCTGATCTAATCATTACACATTGCATGCATCAAAATATAACATGTATCTCAAAATATGTATAGCTATTATGGATAAATTTTAAAAAGCACCTCGTCACCAGGGCCAGGGTTTGCTTTTGTTGTAGAAATTCTTAAAGAATTCTACTGTTTTGAATCTTTTAGTCTTCAAGAATGTTGATTAAAACACCATAGAAGGAAGGTTGTATCTTAAATGATAATTAGTGGACAGCAGAGACCAGAACAAACCTTTGAAGGTTAGGCTACAGTATAGGCCTGTAGGTAGATGGTAAAAAAAAAGGGAAAGAAGTATGAAGGCTTCTATTTCACTAATTTGATTACATCCAGCATTAATCCCAAAAGGTCACACATTCCAAGTGCAAAAGGCACCCTAGAACTGGCAAATCCAGTTACTCAAATCCCCTGTGCTTTTCATCTTCATCTAAAATATTAATTTATTTTCCAAACAGAAGCTAGTATAAATCAACCAAGAGCATCCATCTGATAAAAGATATGCAAATATCTTTATAAATATACAGTATCATCTATAATGTTGACAGGTCAGATAAAGCCACCAACTTTCACTTAAAACTCTAAATTTCAAATACAAGATGCAAATACAGAGATTACCTCTTTCCCCCAACACATACACACACACACACACAGTCTACTTTTTCTAGCTTTGCAGATGGATACAAATTGCATATATTATTCATAGATTCCCTAACCCCAATCCACCTTCACATACAAACCAGACTCAAATATTGTAGGAACCTGCAATACGAAGACTTGAATTTTAAAAACCAATTGACTATCAGGATTGTTAACAGTGTTCTGGAAAAGCAATTAGGGCACATATCATCTTTAGATGTGTCAAATAACAAAAGTAAAAAACATCCAAACAAAATAAGAAACAACAACAAAAACAAACCTGGTCTAACATTTGCCGAGCAAGAGCCTACCCCTGTAGCAGCAGCCCATGGCTAGTTCCTGCTTGCCAACATCAACCCCGGGCTTCATCAACAATTCCTTTTTGTCTCCTTAATAAATAATTGGGGTATGTAGCCCCTGAAGGCAGTGGACAGTCCCACGTTGGGAGGGCAGGATGACTATACAGAGATGGCCCCAGGAAGGGCAGATGAGTGACTGGCTAGCCAGCTCTCATTTGGTGCAGGCCAGCCCTGAGCTGGGAGTCCCTGGGAGATGACAGATGGCTCAGCATTGACTTTTTGAAGGGAAGAAGGGAAGGTGGCCTTAGAGAGAGATCTCAATTTGCAGTTCTTTTGTTCTTGTTGTCTGTGAGCTCTGACCTCCTCCTTGTTCCCTTCCTTCCCCCTTCCCCAGGCTCTCCTTTTCTACATCATTCTATAATGTCAAGAGAAACAGAATAAAAAGAAAGAATAATCAGGGTCAAAAGACCAGAGGGCCCAACTCTGATCTGTGCTGTGTGGCTGATGAGGCCCCGGGCTCCAGAGTATCTGACAAGACATCAATGGAATCGATGTGGCTAAATTAAAATGTGAAGAACATACCATGTTTTACACGCAGCTCTTGGGAGAGAGGAGACACAGCCAGCAGGATCTCAAAAAGCATGAAAAGACTGAGCTGGTCAGCAAAGCTCTGAAACTGGCAGACACGGGGGCCAGCAGAAATTGATGAGAATCCAGACATACAAATAAGTAGAAAGAACAAGCAAAGCAGGTGAGCATTGGTTACAGAGCTCTCTGGTTCAGGTGTGAGGGGAATTTTATTTATTTTTTATTATAAAGAATGTGTTCATTTTATAAAATTTGGAGAATATAGGACCCTTGAAATATGGTAGGATTTTTGTGGATTGGGTGAATGCACCCAAATAGGTGACATTACAGGCCAAGGAATGTTCGATATTCAATGTGCATTTATTGAGCACTCACTACCAGGCACTATTTGTGTTGGACATGCATACTTTGCACCTTTTGTTAGCCTAAGAACACAGAACAGCAACTCAATGCCTAAAATGGAAAATAACCTGACTGCTAACAGGTAGATATTGACTGTCCATGGACTAATGATTTGGCATCTTAATTCCTATTGAGCTTAAGAGTTCTTTTGAAATCTCAGCCAAATCATTTAGACACTGTTTGAGGCATAAACAGGGATTTTTAATGTTTACCTAGTTCACTGAGTAAAGGATTAATTACTGCATATATTTAACAGAGTAGTGTGTCCCATGAGCTGCTTCTTCCAATCCAGTTAAATGCATAATCTTAATATTTCACTGTCTGTCTATTTAACATTTCCTTTTCATGAAGCATAGCTCAAAGAAATTTCAATAATACTGTTTTTAATTAGCTACTTACTATCAAGTTAATAAACCTAAAATACTTAAATCCCCCAATCCTAGTCCTGACTCTCCTGTTCAAGACTAATTCTCTTTGCTTCTCCCACTTCCATGGCCACCCCTCTGCCTAGAGCCCATAGAACTATAAGGATGAACTAGAGGGTTCATATGCATGGCATTGTAATTATGATAATAGCTGATACTTACACGGCAATTACTATGTGCCAAGCTCTGTTGTAAGTGCTTTACACACATTAACTCATTTAACCTTCACACAACCCTATGAGGTGGGAACTATTATTATCTTCATTTTATATGTCTAGAGGGTCTCTAGAGTGGCCTACTTAGGGAACTATAGTCTAAGGAAAAAGCAAAAGAAGAAGCACTTAGTTCAAAAGTATATTTTCAGGACTGAAAGGAAGAAAAGATTCTGAGCCCAGCTACTGTTTCTCTCTCAGCTTCTCCCATGGTTAGTTATGTAACTAAGTGTTAAACAGAAGAGGCTACATCATGCTTTATGCCTTAAATATACATGTTAAAATTTATTTTCTAAAAAAAGAGAAGAAGCTTCAGGTAAAAGATCTACGGGTCACCAGTAGTAAGGAGAATGCATACTGATGGACTGACGTCTCAATCAAGTCCAGGAGACCCAGAGGACAAGAGAGAAGGCTAGTGTGTGGCTTCGGAGAGATAGTGAAGAACTGTCACTCACTGCTCTGTTGGGGTAAAGAATATAGACAAGTTCCTCATGGACCACAGGTGGGCTACACAGGAGAGAGCTGTCTTGAAGCCATGTGAAATCTCATGCAAGAACACTGCAAGAAAGGGTGATGGGCTCCAGCACAGAGAGCAACTGTGAAGTAAATTGCCAAGTAGAAGGCCTGAGGGCAAGGCAGCCAGCTGAGGGCAAGGCAGCCAGCTGGGGTAGTCCCCAATAGAGGCCTCTACAAAGCCCACTCAAGCACCCACGAGAGAAAGAGACAGCCTTAAACTCAAGGCTGTTGAACCCAAACATCACAAAACTATCTTAGTACCATTCAAGTAAAAACTTTATAGGCCTCTTCCCTCTCCTCCTTTCCCAACTCCCTGCCTTTGAAAAGTAAAAAAAAAAAAAAAAAAACACCTTCGCAAGACGGGGTAGAAGAGGTGTAGGGAGGATATGGACGATGCTCCCTCCTACCAGCCCCTTCACTGCATCAGGCTCAGCTGGGGGAAGGGAAACAGCTATAACTCTGAGTAAAGTGAAAAGCTTTGGCTGATATCTGAGACTAAGTGTTAAACTGAAACCATGTTCTGTGATTTAAAGGGATTGTAGGAAATTTTATTACCTAAACACGAAAACCCAAAAGATTTGTCAAATTTTCATCCAATGACAACAGAAGAATTCCCACACAGAGCAAGTACAAAGGGATTAAGGGAGGCAAATGAAGTTGCTTTTATGATTATACCCCATGAGTGCTCCTTGTTCGATACCTCTCAGGGAATGAGCTGACAGGATCCAAACCACAAAGAAAAAGAAGAAACAGAGCTGAGACTAAATCTCTTCTCTAGTTGCATGTTTTTCCCTTTTGTGGTTTACAGAGAAAGCAAAACAGGTAACCAGACACCTAACCATCTGGAAGTACCTATGAAATATTCAGACCAACTTCATTTTTAGAACTAAGAAAAGCATGAAAAATGGATTCCATTTTTCTGCAAAAACACTGGATGAAGAGAAGGTTACAGAGTATAATCATTGCTTAGAGAAAGGATTAAATCAATTTAGCATTCACTGAAAAGCTGTTATTCCTAGAATTCATGCTAATACCATTTCATATCTATTTCTTAATTAGTAATTTGTGTTTATTCTCTATTTTCAGAGTTGAATTTCTAATTTTCTACACTAGCGCTACAAGATAATTGAATGTAAGAGAAAGCACAACCATGCAGACAATGAGCAAGTAAAACTAACAGATACACATATAAGTACTAAATTGACAAGTCTTATGAGATGAGAAAGACAAGGGAGTGCTGAGATAGAGAATAATAAAAAAGACCTATTATTACAGGTTTGTTAGAAAAGTTGTCTCCGAGAGAGTGACATTGAATCTGAGACTTGAAGGATGAGATACAGCTATGCAGAATGCCAGGGAAAGGCATTCCAGGCAGAAGGAACAGCATGTAGAAATGGCACTGAGGTTGGGCATGGTGGTGTCCACCTGTAATCCCAGGTACTCAGGAAACTGAGGCAGGAGGATCACTTGAGCCCACCTGGGGAATGTAGGGAGACTCTGTTTCAATAAAAAGGAAAGAAGGAAGGAAGGAGAAGAAGGGAGGGAGGGAGGGAGGAAGGAGGGAGGGAGGGAGGGAAAGAAACAGCCCTGAGATGGGTCAGGACACAGAGACCTGATGGGGCATGGCAAGTAGCCCTGTACTCTACATGTATGGGACAGCAGGGGATAATTTTAAGCACAGTGATGTGATGCCATTTATATCTTTTAAAAACCACTAAAATTGCTCTCTAGAGACTAGATTGGAGACAGTCAAGAAGAAAAGAAGGGAGCCTAGTTAGAAGGCAGTTGCAAATTGTTCTGACAAGAAGTGAGATGGTTTTTCTAGAGTGGCAGCAACTCTCATGCGGTGACAGCAGAGGGATGTGAGGTGCTGTTTGGTGGCAGAAAGGGCAGGACTGTGGTTTGGTTTGGATGAAATGAGTGGGGGAGACGGAGAAATCAAATCTAGGATGATGATTTCTGGTATGAGGTAATGAACATAAGCAGTTTGTTATGAGTCTGTAGTTCAAAGGGGAGTTTTGAGATAAGGATTTAATTGGGGAAGTCACCAGCATATGACAGTATTCTGTAGCAGAAGAAGGAATGACATTATGTAAAGATGGAGTATAGTGAAGAAAGTAAAGGCCACGTAGAGGAAGAGGAACTGATAAGGCTGAGAAGAGAGTCAGAAGGAGCTGCTGGAGATATAGGAGGAAATCCAGACAAGAGCAATGCCAAGGAAACCAAGACAGAAGAGTGGGTGGGGAAAAAGGGCCATTGGTCAAGTCTTGAATGTCACTGAGAAGCTGATTAAGATAAAGCCAGAGTTTGATTTGTTCTTCCTTTCTAGTTCCTTGAGATGTGACATCAGATTGTTAATTTGTGATCTTTCTGTATTTTTGATGTAGGCATTTAAGGCTATAAATTTTCCCCTTAGGAATGCTTTTGCTGAGTTCCATAGATTTTGATAGCTTATATCCCCTTTGTCATTCAGTTCAAAGAATCTTTTCATTTCCATCTTGACCCAATAACCATTCACCAGCATGTTGTTTAATTTCCATGGCTTTGTGTAGGTTTGAGTGTTTCTATTGAGATTGATTACCAGTTTTATTCTGCTGCTGTCTGAGAAGATACATGGTATGATTTCAATTTTTTTGAATTTGTTGAGACCTGTTTTGTGGTCTAAGATATGATCAATCTTGGAGAATGTTCCATGAACTGCTGAGAAGAATGTGTATTTAGTAGTTTTAGGGTAGAATGTTCTATAAATGTCTGTTACAACCATTTGATTTAGAGTCTGGTTTAAAGTCCATTGTTTATTTATTTTCCACTTTGATGATTTGTCAAGCTCTGACGGAGGCGTGTTGAGGTCCCTAACAATCACAATTATGGTATTTATTTCTTTGCTTTGCTCTTGTAAAATTTGCTTTGGGTATCTGGGAGCTCCTGTGTTAGGTGCATATATATTTAGGATTGTTATGTCTTCTTGTTAAATTGCTTCCTTTACCATTGTATAATGACTCTCTTTGTCTTTCTTTACCTTTGTTGGTTTAAAGTCAATTTTCTTTCTTTTTTTTCTTCTTTTTTAAAATATATTTTTAAATAATTCTTTATTTCTTATTCTTACTTCCCACTTCTTCCCATTTTTTAAGTGTAAAAAGTCAATTTTCTGATATGAGAATGGCTACACCTGCTCTCTGTTGATTTCCATTTGCATGGAATGCTTTATTTTCTATCCTATAATGTTGAGTCTCTGTGTGTCCTTGTGGTTTAGATACATTTCCTTGAGACAGTAGACACTTGTGTTGTGTTTTTTCATCCATTCAGCCAGCCTATGTCTTTTGAGAGGAATATTTAGACTGTTAACATTGAGTGATAGAATTGATATGTGGGGTGTTGATCTGTACATCATGTTGACTAGTACCTTATTGCTTTGTTTTCCCTCTTGTGCTATTGTTTTATAAAAGTTGTGAGCTTTAGAGGTTTTTTGAGGGGTGATTTTACACTGGTGGGTATCTGTTGTGCTGATTCGTGTATAATGCAGTTCTGAGTATTTCCTGCAGGGCAGGTCTGGTCATGGCAAATCCTCTCAGTTTTTGCTTGTCTGGAAAAGACTGAATTTCTTCATCAGTTGTGAAACTTAGTAGTTTTTGCAAGATACAAAATTCTAGGCTGGCAGTTGTTCTGTTTAAGAACATTGAAGATGAGGCCCCAATCCCTTCTGGCTTGTAAGTTTTCTCCTGAGAAGTCTGCAGTTAGCCTGATGGGTTTTCCTTTGTAGGTTATTTGATGCTTTTGTCTTGCTGCTAGCAGAATTTTTTCCTTCATTTTGACTTTGGTCAGGTTGATTACTATGTGTTTTAAAGATGTCCTATTTGCTATAACTCTTTCCAGTATTTGATGACCATCTTGCATCTGGACGGCTGACTCTCTGGTGGTACCAGGGAAGTTTTCCTCAATAATTCCCTCAAATAGGTTTTCTATGCTTTTAGCTCTTTCTTCTTCTCCCTCAGGGATACCTATAATTCAAATGTTCGTTCACTTCACATAGTCCCATATCTCTCTCAGTGATTGCTCAGGCTTTTTTATTCTCTTCTTTGCCTCTTTGACTGACTACATTATCTCTAGAGCCTTGTCTTCAAGCTTGAAAATTCTTTCTTCTTCTTGATTTAGTCTGTTTTTGAAGCTTTCTGCTGTGTTTTGAAATTCCCTAAATGAGTCTTCCATTTCTTTATGTTCTAGTATATCCTTTCTTAAGTTGTCTAGCTCTTTAGTGACTTTTTCATTGATTTCCTGAAATACTTTTTGGCTTCTTTTTGTTGGTTTTCAACTTTCTCTTCAATTTCATTCATCATATTTGCCATCCATATTCTGAATTCCATATATGTCATTTTGACAATTTCCTTATGGATAGAGTCCACTGCTGTAGCTCCACTATGATCCCTTGTGGGTGTTAAACTATCTTGTTGTTTCAAAAGAAATGGTTCTTTTGCTGATTTCTTATCTGGCTCCTCTTCTCTCAGCTTTGGGTTAATAGGACTGCAGGGCACCTATTCTCCTTTGGTTGGAACCCTCTTGTTTAGTTAGGGGAAGGGGAGGACCCTAGATGGAACTTTTGTGATCTACTGGGGAATGTTGACCCATTAGGGAGGGGCTGGTTCACTGAGAGCCTTTGGAACAGCTGTTTTGTTTTAACTCATTCCCCTGTGATTGCCACAGTTCAAGTCAGTGCTGGATGATCTTCATGTGGGGTAGAGAGGGTCACTGACCTGCTCATTAAAAGGAGCTATTCTCCGTATGAGGGAAATTTTGCTCTCAGAAATAAAAGTCACATGGGAGCTGTTATTATGATGAGTGCTGTGAGGTCAGCCTTATAGGTGCCTGTCTTGGCTCTGGTCCTTGGTTATTCCATCAGATACTCTCTAGGCATTGCTATGAGAGTTTTCATAGATGTGATTAGCATTCATAATCAGTGGACTTTAAGTAAGAGTTTATCCTAGATAATTATATGGACCTGATTCAATCAGTTGAAAAGTTTTAAGAGCAGAACTGAGGTTCCCAGAAGAAAAACATTCTGCCTGTGGATTACAGCATCAATTTGTGTCCAAGAGTTCCAGCCTACCCTTCTTGATGGTCTGCCCTACAGATTTTGGACTTGCCTCATCAGACCCTACCACGGTGTAAGCCAATTCCTTACAATAAATATATAAAGGATATATATATATATATATATCTCCTTCTAGTTCTGTTTCTCTGGTTATATCCTTACTGATAGAAGAACAGTTTCTCTTGCTCTCTTTTCTCCCCCCTGGTACTAAAACAGGTGCTGAACCTTTACTCATTTAAAGAAATGAAAAGTGAGAGAGTCTGTTTTTGCTGATTCAATGACTTTTAGAACAAGAAGGAAAACTATAGGCCATTCACTCTATTCCCTTATTTCAAAGACAAAGAAACTGCAGCCCAAAAAAGAAGGCCCAGAGTTACATGCAATGGGGTGGCAGAGCCACTACAGAGGCTATTCTTGATCTTCTAGGCTGGCACTGAGTCACCTTCCTTTCACTGGCCCCTGCAAGACAGTGTCCAAATGTGGGGAGGCTAGGGAAACTGGAAACATGTCACCAACCATGGAATACTACGAAAGCTCTTACTAGATCTTGTTTATTGCATGTAATGTGGATGCCATCCACCTTTTTAAATAATGTAACAGTGTATACTTGAGCAAGGGCTTTCTTGTTAACAGTGTGGAGCTCTTTGATGTGGAGTAAAATTCAGGAGCCAGGCTCTCTAGGAAGCCAGCAAAGAACTCCCATGCCAGACTGTTACAAATGAAGCCTGTCCACAGGCATTTCTTGATGAAAACAACTGAAGAGGGTACATCAGTGAGGCATACACTGGCTCCCAACATTGTGCACAAATGCAAGGGGCTTGATTTACAACTGAGTCTCAGAAAATGACAGGGTGTAGCAGCAGCTGGAGAAAGGGAGGTCTGGGGCCCCACCAGAGAGTCTCATAGGTTCCAGTTTTGTTAGTTTATTAACTTAGCGAGGCTTCATCCTGACTATGTTATGTACTGCTAAGAAAGATTACAATATTTTCCAAATTAGTATCAAGATATCATAGACCCTTAAAATTTTTGAATCTCAAATTGTCTTCTCTACAACTAGAACTCCTGTGTTCTTCTTAACCCATGTTTAGCAACTCAAAAGTAAACTCTGTATGAGACTTTGCCTTTGACTGATAATTCATAGAATTTCGCAAGGTTTAACATAATTACCAGTTCCAAAGGATATTAA